ATGTCTCCATATGTGGTAGCAGACTTTCTTTTTCTTTTGTTCTTTAGTTTATCTCAGTTTTCTTGAGCTTTGGTATTTAAGGACTGCAGGGTGGGTGTTAGATAGGAAACCTTGCTTTACTGGTTTACTGACAAGTGATGGGTTTTTCGTGGGTGACTGACACCACACTTCTCTCCAATTGCATTTGTCTTTAGAGCCTAACTTACAAAAGCAAAATCCTCGACTACAGTTAGTTAAGCCCCTGTCTCACTGAGACAAGCTCACTGAAGGAACTGTTCACTCTTAAGAGGAAGGAACATGAGCTTCAGAGAATTTAAATAACGCCCTCAAGCCCACACAGGTCCGGTGCCGGCGTTAGAATACACTTACCCGTGTGTCCGACTCCACAGCCAGTGCCTCTCTGTTGGGGTTCGGGACCCTTGGACAGTTCGATGTGAGGGCTGTGTGCGCTGGCTTTGGCCGAGCCATCCTGGGTCGGCCTCTTCTCAGCTATGCAATAATAATAGCAAATCACTTTCGTGTGTTTTTCAAGTGCTCAGCAATTTATATGCACAGCATTTCATTCATTCTTCCTGAAAACTCTCAGAGGGCGAGATGACTATTATCATCATCCCCACCTTACAGATGAGGAAATTGAGGCTTTTGAGCAGTAGGTAATTTGCAGAAATGAGGTTGAACCCAGATGGGCTGGTGCCAGCGCAGGTGCTTGTAACCAAGTGATACAGACATGAAAAGGAACAAACGCAGTCAAGAAAAGGCAAATTCACATGGGAGAGTGACCGAAACAACGCTGTACTTACGAATGTGTCTCTGAAGTAGGCTTCCTGGGGATAAAGTCAGAGGTGCAACTTAGGCCAAGTCATTTAACCACAATGACCTTTTCTGCAAAATGGGCACATAATAGCACCTGCCTGTGCTAGTTGTTAGGGCTGTCGTGACAGCACAGTGCAGGCCGGGAGACTTAAAACAACAGAGATCGATTTCCCTACAGTTCTGGAGTCCAGACATCAAAATCAAGGTGTTAGCAATTTGGTTTCTCCTGAAGCCTCTCCACTTCCCTCAGCGAAGGTGCCCGCCTCGCCACGTCCTACAGGGTTGTCCCTCGGTCTGCGTGTTGCCCACATTCCAATGGCCTCTTCACAGAAGGACACCTGTCACGGTGCATGAAGGGCCGCTCCTGTGAGCTATTTTACCGTAATCACCTCTTTCCAGTCCCTGCTTCCAAGTCCAGTCACATCCTAGGGTGCTGCAGGTCAGGATGCAGCATATGAATTTAGAGGTGGGGTAGCAGCACACAATCCAGCCCATCACACAGCCTCACAGGGTCACTGTGAAGACGATAACGACAGAACACCTGGGAAGCGGAGTTCGGAAGACCAAGAATCCTGGGTGAGCTTAGAAACCCCTAGACATGGCGACATGCTTCACACTGAGGGTGTTGAGTGTCCCCAAGGGCATCAGCTAGTAAGCCCCTGGGGGCTCAGGCCCGCATCCAGTCGTCCTACAACTCTCCCATCTGGTCTGGCCTCTCCTTGGGGTCAATGAGCTCTTCCTGTAGACAATTCTCAAACTTTCTTTCTTATTTTTTTAAAAAAGATTTATTTATTTATGCATACTAGAGGAGAGTACAGGCCAGAGGGGAGGGGGGGTGGGAAGGATTCACCAGAGACAGAGTGGGGAGCAGAACAGGCAGATCTACCGAGATATAGTGCTGAGGGGAGCAGCGGGGAGACAGGAGAGGGCTGCTGTGCCATGTGGGCAGCTCCCTGGCCAGCCGGGGATCTAGAACGTTCTCAAACTTTCTGTAGCTGCTCCAAGGGTAAGATTTAAAATGAGGAGACATTCTGTCCTCACTACTCACAGCTCAGCAAGTACCTTTCCGAAACCACTACTATTTCTACTCCTTGGACAAGCCACTCATTAAAATTGAATGACAACCACTTACATTTATATAGCCTTTTCAGTTTACAAAGTTCTCCTCCATCCATTGTTTTAATTCTCACGAGTTCTGTAGGATTGTTTTCCTTTCATAAGAGAAGAATATAAGGCTCTGGGGGTAGCACCATTGTCCTGGGCCATACCATTAATCCGTGGCAGAGGTGGGCTTCAAATGCTGGTCTTTTTGCTCTGACACATGAGGAGTAGCCCACCGATTCAGGCACGCTTCTGCAATATAAATAATCCAGTATTTCAGATTTGCCCTCTTTTGGGGGGTGCAGATAAGCTATTTAGGACTCTTTTGATGGGAAATGACAAAAACCCAACTCAAATTATCTTAAACAAAACCCGAATATATTGACTCATCTAATAGAATAATCCAGAATCCAGTCTTCAGGCATCATGGCTCCAAGTCCTCCAACTGAGTCACCAGGGCTGTCACCATTTATTAGTTTCTCTCCATGTTGATCTTCTTCTTAAACAAGCTCTGTTTAAGTTGTCAAAGATGGTCCACAGTAGCTAAGGCTTGGAATACCCCCAGCTCAACAAACTCAGAAGGAAGAGAAAGCTCTTTCTCGTAAGTGGCAGCAATTGACCTGTGTGTCATTTTCAACTACTTGCACTGGGCAGGGGGCTGCTCCTGAACCAATGGTTGTGTCTAGAACAAGAGAGTCTTGTCATTGTCCACATCTGATCATGGTCGCCCCCTCCCTGGAGGCGGATGAATAGGCAAGAAACAGTTTCTTCTTTTTTTTTTTTTAAAGATTTATTTATTTATATATAAAAGCACTGGGTACAGTCAGAAGCGTGGGAGGGTGAGAGAATTCACCCGAGCCAGAGTGGGGAGCAGAGCAGGCAGACTGATGAATTACATTGCTGAGGGGAGCAGCGGGCCGCAGGAGAGGTCCGCACGCCATGCGGGACCCTCCTCCGGTGGCCGGGGAGCAGCCGGGGATCGAACCGGCGCAGCCTCACAAGCCGGTGCTCAACCGCTGCGCCACCAGGGAGGCCCGAAAGAGTTTCTTTAGAGCAGGAGTGGTGTGGGGTGTGGGGGTGCCGGGTGGATCTCTGTGGGATGCCTTAGCTCCTCAGAACTAGACCACAGCAGCCAGAGAGGAACTGGAGCCCATCTTAGTAAGAACTTCCAGCTTTTGCCTTGAGAGAGAATAGTCCATGGATGTCTATGTTTTTCCCTGCACTGCCTTGCTCGATTCAACAGGCTAGAAAAGGCAGTGATTCATGGCAGAGCAAAGGAGAAAGATGGAGCCTCAAGTTCCACTAATTCACTGTGTTCAGAGGAATACCCCAAACAGGAGCACCCACAGAAGGAGACTCTGACAAGCTGCTTGAGACTGACCACTTCCCTGCTCCCTCCTTCCAGCACCTCCCATCTCCCCTAGAAGCTCCGAGCTCCTGTGGGAAGGGGCCACATCTGTTTTATCCTCCATCTCTTCCCCACAGCTTAGCATAGTGCTGTGACGGGCCCATCGCTGAGGGCTACCAATTTTTCAATTTATGGGTGAATAAATTAGTGAATCAGATTGATCAGTCTAACTGGCAGGTTTATAAATCAACTCCCCTCTTTGGCTTCTGTTCTCCATCTGTCAAGTGTGAGAAGGTAAAGAATGAGACTCTCTCCACAGCCCCTTCCAGCTCATGATTCCAGGGCGTGAGGGCGCTTGGACACCCACTGTGCCCTCTGCAAGCAGCCAGTGGGAGGGGAAACCAAAGGCACTGAGCATCCTGTGCTCGGGGCCTGGTAAGATGACTTTACATGGGCCAGAGGTCCCCAAATTGTGGGATTTCATAGACCCATTAACTTGTACGATTTTAGAATGGCTAATTTTTTATTTTGCCAAATAAGGCCACTGAAAACCTTCCCGCTATCACCACTATTTCTTTCAAAAGGGAATTTTTACACTTTGAAAGGAAGACGTACATAACCTCAGGAAAAGAGTCACACACACCCCAACCCCAAAGAAAGTTGGCAACCTAACTTACACTATTTTTTTTTCTTGCCGCTATAAATTCCACCTGTTCCCCGAGTGGGATCTAGTTTTTGAAAGCCCCTACCTGAGAGTATTTTTCACCCCCCTCCAACACACACAGACACACCTACCTGTGAGGTGGGGCTTCATCTGCTGCTCTGTGGAGGGGGAAGCAAAGTCTCAAGAGAGCTAAAGTGCAAGGTCACGGAGACAGTAAGCAGCAGTCAGCGTTCGTCTGGATGCCAACCCAGATCAGGTTGGCATCCTAAGCCAAAAAACTATTTTCTGCAGGGAAAGAAATGCCCCGCACTGGCCCCCTGGGAGAGCCCAGGGGTGCGCTCAGGCCTAACGGTGAACCTGGGCTGAGATGCGTTGCTCTTTAACACATCTTCATGGTGTGCCCACTGCACGCCCGGCACCGGGAGAGCGTAGGGAGGGAAACCCGCACACCCCACTCGCAGGCGCTCGGGTTCCCACCTCTCTCCCTGCCTCCTCATCCTGCCCACCCGCCCTGTCCTCCGCGCCCCCTTCTCATCCTGCGCGCTGTGCCCCAGACCCAGTCCCTTGCGCTGGCGACCAATAAACCCCCCCGCAGGCGTGAGCTGCTCACAGTGTAAGGGGTTCCCTTTCCAGGGGTGTTGGCAATGTCCTAGGAGATTCTGGGAACCTTCGACACCCCCAAGACCAAAACGACTCGAAGCGTAATGGTGCCACGGGGGCACCGGAGAGGCTGCAGGGGAGGCAATTTGCAAGCAAGAGAACAGTTCAAACCCTGCCGGGGAACGCTCCGTGCGGCACCACCCCCATCCCCGTGGGTTTTGCGGGGATCCACAGCTCGTGCTGGAGGAGGGGGTCCCCCAGCCCAGAGGGCTGTCCTGGGGAGGGGCGTATTGCTCGGGCTGGGGTACCTGGGAGACCGTACCCGCCCCCCCCACTGCCAGCCCCGCGAGCGCCCCGCGGGTTCCGCCCCGCCCCGCACGCCCGCGGCGGGAACGTGCCTCCGCCGGGCCGTGCCGGAGCCCGAGCGCGCGCGCCTGGGCGCGGGAGCGCGCCCCTGGGAGAGCCCGAGCAAGATGGAGGCCGCGCCGAGGCCGCCGCCTGGGCCGAGGCAGCCCCCGCGGGGAGCTCCGAGCCGCGGAGCCTAGGCCGTGCGCGCCCCGGACCTGCTGCTCCGGACCTGGCCCAGGTCGGTCTCCCCCGCCCCGCCCGCGTCCGCAGCCTCCGCGCGCGCCCGGCCTGGCGCGGGCGGCCGCTCCCCCACCCCGGCCCAGCCGGGCCCCGCAGCCCCCCGCGCGGGGACAGCCCCGCGCGCCCCTGCCCCGCGCCCGGCCGCCGGCGGCCCCAGCCCCGCGGCCCCGCGGCCCGAGAAGCCCTCGTCGCGAATCCTGGCCCGCCAGTCCTCGGCTCACCCCAGCCTACCTCGAGTTCTGGCTTCTGGGGAACCCCGCACCCCCGCCCCGTGTCCAGCCCCGGCAGTCCCAGCCCCGGACTCCCCTGAAGCCTCATCCGTGCTCCCCAGCACCAGCGCGCGTTCCCGTCCCAGCCCCCACATCACCTTCCCGTCCCCCAATACCAGCCCCCTTTATGCCCTCCTCACCCCCTTAGAGATGCGCCCATCCCCCACCCCACAGCCCTTTTCCAGACACCCAATACCAGACCCCCTTCTCCCCTGAACCTGCTCTGGGCCCCCTGCGCGCAGCCCCTCGGCTGCTCCCCTGGCACCAGCCTCCAGCCTCCGTCCGGCTCCCCAAGGCCCCCTCCCCCCACACCAGCCCCACATCCTCTCCCCAACTGCCCTGTAGCCACTTTCCAGCCCCCACCCCACTTCCAGCTCCTACATCCTCACCCCAGCCCTTCAGAGCCCCAGCCCCCCAACTTTCGCACGGCCTCGTCCTAGGTACCCCCGCTGGAGATCACGTCGGTCTCCTCCTCCAGACCCCGCCCCACCCTCCCCTGACCCGCGCCCCGCGCCCCGGGCCGGCCTGCAGGAGCCCCCGGCGCACCCCAGCCCCCCCCCCCCCCGCGAGCCCCGGGCTCAGGCCGCTTCTCGCGTCCTCAGCTCCCGCGCGCCAGCCCGGCGGCCGGTCCCGGGCGGGCGGCCCCCCCAGCCGCCGCCGGCCCCGCCCCCGGGCACCACCATGCTGCCCTCGCAGGAGGCCTCCAAGCTCTACCACGAGCACTACATGCGGAACTCGCGGGCCATCGGCGTGCTGTGGGCCATCTTCACCATCTGCTTCGCCATCATCAACGTGGTGGTCTTCATCCAGCCCTACTGGGTGGGCGACAGCGTGAGCACCCCCAAACCCGGCTACTTCGGTCTCTTCCACTACTGCGTGGGCAGCGGGCTGGCGGGCCGCGAGCTCATCTGCCGAGGCTCCTTCACCGACTTCAGCACCATCCCGTCCGGCGCCTTCAAGGCGGCCGCCTTCTTCGTGCTGCTCTCCATGGTGCTGATCCTCGGCTGCATCACCTGCTTCGCGCTCTTCTTCTTCTGCAACACGGCCACGGTCTACAAGATCTGCGCCTGGATGCAGCTCCTGGCAGGTAGGGAGGGGGCGCGGCTGGGGCCCCGAGAGCAGGCGCGAGGGCCAGGGGGTCTGTCTTCCAGGCGCCCTTCTTGGGGGACTCATAGATGAGTCTGCCCCTCTGGGGACGCGCCTCCTCGCCGACCTGGCAACCCCCCGCAGGGGTTCTGAGAGAGAAGCATCTGGGGGCAGGGCAGAGCCTTGGCGTTGGGTCTCTGGGTCTGGGCGCTTGTATTTGGGTCTGTGTGATGGGTTAGCGCTACCTTAGAGTCTCCTCTGGCTGTCCTTGGCGAAAGAAGGATGTGAATGAGGAGTTAGTCTAGGTGTGACCAATTTTTGTTATGTTTTTAAGAAGCACGAGCTGAGGAGTCAAGAGAGCTGACCTTGACCTTTAACTTGCTGACATTTTTAACTTGGTGTTGCACTTTACTTCTCAGCTGTAAAACGGTGGTGAGGCGCCAAGAACAAATGGGAGAATATCTTGCACACTTTTGAGTGCTGTAATAACATTCGGGACATGAGGAGTCTGTCTAGAGGGTCTATCCAATGTTTGAAATGTGGGTGGTTGACAGCACCTGGCCGCGTGGGTCCCTGGAGGGCAGGAAGGATTCTGGTTCCGTGCCCAACAGGAACGAGTCCCTGGGACCCAGTGAAATGTTTGGCTAAGACAGACATCTTGCCCTAAGACACAGAGAAGGGCCTTCTGGGATGAGAAGTGCTGAAACAGATTTCTAGGATCCATTAGAGTCTCCAACCCTCGCCCGCCTCTCGATCGAAGACAGATTTTGAGGACTCAGTACCTTGGGTATTTGCCTAATTGCAGGAAAGGAAGGAAGCTGGGTTGAATAAAGTGGGGCCAGGGGATTGGGGGAATATTGGGGGGGGGGAGCCGGGGAAGGCTGGGGAAAAGTTTGGAACCCTCAGGGATGAGAAAGAGATGGGAAAAGGTGATGATCATGCAGTCAAGATGGTTTTCAAAAGTAAGCACCGCAGGCATTCAGCAAGTGTTGGCCCCTTCCACAGAGACCTTCCTGGCAAAGGTGTTAAATCACCTGCTGCTGATTCCATTGCACAGAACATTGTAGAGAATTGTCTTTGGAGCATGGGGTGTGTTCTCTTGAACATCCTTACTGAGGGGGAACATCCTTACTGTAACATCCTTACATTCCAAATAATATGATATTTGGAAATGGCTGGATATCACCCAAGGTCAAGCGGAGAAAATTCAAAGGGTGATCAAATTGAGAATTGTTGTGTGTGGTGAAAGCAAAGTTATAAGGGCAAAATCGCACATCTGGCTTGCTTTCCCAAGAGGACTTTTGCAAATGCAGAGGGGAAATCTGCTCTACCGAAAGAATTGTCCAAACTCCCGAAAGGACTACTTGGAAGAAGGCAGGATTTTTTCAAAAATGGACATTGTACTGGACTTATTTCAGTTCCGTCTCATGCCCATCAGCCCGGGTGGAGGGTCTTTGAGATCTTTGAAGAAGTTGAGAAAGGGCAATTGTAGGGTGTGCGGGGAATGTCTCTCTGTATCTCTCAGAAGCTGCTTTTTCTTGTTTTCACTCAACCTTAATTGAGTCTGCAGATAGGTTGCTGACCTCTTGGCCTTCCAAGTCTCTGCGATCCATGTGGTTCTGATATTGGGGATTTGAGGAACAACCCCCATGTAATTAGAGGATTTCAGGGATCTTAGAGATCAGATTCTTTAAATCCTTCCTTTCCCATGATACTGTCCTCCAAAAGAGAGAGAAGAAACTGAGCCTAGAGAAGTGAAGGCCCTACCCAAAGTCACGCAACCACCAAGGGAATAAATTCGGTCTTGATTCCTCTAGTGTTCTTTCCCTTGAGTTACTGCCCTACCCCGGAGGGCCGAGGGAGCAGTTAGCAGAGTTGAGAAATTTATCCATTTTGCTTAGAGATTTCTGAGTTCCCTGGGTACGCACTGATTCATGTGCTTCATAAAATGACACCAGGCACAGGCCAGCACCCTGGATGGGGGCAGGGGAACTTGGCTTTGCCTGTGACTCACCTTGCAGCGTTAGGCAATCGTTTTGAGCCAAAATCTGTGTTCTCGTCTGTACAATGGGGGGATAATCAGCTACACTGGTGAGCCTAAAGTCTCTCTTTCCCATCCCATCCCCCAAGATCATGCCACTCAGAGAGCTAAGGGCTTGTTAATATCAGATAAGTGTGATTCTTGTGCAAGTGAACTTTCATTCAAGTAGTTTAGAGTCTTCTAGGTGCAGAGCAAGGAGTACTGGGGAAACAGCCCTTGTTTATTCCACACCTGCTTAGTGCCCAGGCCAGTGCGGGGGCCGCGGGACTGGATCATCTGTCTTTAAGGACCACACGTCTGTTTATAAATAATGCAGGCCCTGCTCTCAGGAAGCTTCCCCTCTAGTTGACTCACTCTGTAGTCAGTGAATTTCTAGTGGCAAGTGACACAGGTGACAGAAACCCAACTCAAACTAGCATCGGTAAATCAAAATAAAATAGGTTTTTTGCCTCAACTTAAAGATCCGGGCGTGGGTGCATTTGCATGTTCAAATAATGCCAGTCTCCATACCTGGGTTCCTCTAGGTTGGCTCGCTTTTAAGCCCATGTCTCTCCTGAAGGGGATAAATCAGCCACCAGCCGTTCTGCGTTCACGCGGCTCCCGCCTTCCGGTGCCTGTGGGAAGGGACACTTGTTACTCAGTGGTTTCTGCAAATGTTCAGGGCTGAGGCCTCCAGCCCAGTTTTGGTTCAAGCGTCCAGCTCCAGGTTAATCAGTGTGACTGACTTGTTTCAAGCCTGGGCGACGTGGCTGTCTCTGGAACCTGTGGGTTGAGAGTGGAGAACCAGGAGTTCTTGGAAAGGATCTCCAGGGTGACTTCAGGAGAGGGTTACCGGAGGTGAGGCAAGTATAGACAGAGGCCTCCCCCGGACAGCCCGAGCACTAGTAAGTGCTGGGCCACATGAGCTGGGGAACTGAGGCCACAGAGGAGGCCATGCGGAGGTGACGCTGGCGTGGGCTGGTGTGAGTTGGTGTGAATGTGGCGGGCGTTCAGAAATGTAGCAGGTTGTGGGTAGACATCTGCCTCGAGTGGAACATCCACTGAGGGGAGCAGCGGGAGGAGAGGCCAGGAGGGAATGGTGGGCCCCGGGTACTGTGTGGAAAAACCTGGCCTGTGATCAGCAGGCAGTTCAGAGCTACGACTGTTGTGATGATTCAGGAAAAAGAGTTAACATTTTGTGGGCCCGTGCTCTGTGGGGACCACGTGCGAAACACACGCACAGTTATTTTATCCTCATGACAATCCCGTGGAGTGGGGGCCGTGATTAGTATTTTATAGGTGTGAAGCCTGAACCTCAATGAGGAAAGAGTCATTTGTTCAAGGTCATACAGGTGCTGAGTGGTGAACTCAGCCTTGTCATGTGGGCCGCCTGGCGCCAAGGCCGAGCATGAGGAAGGATTTACAGAGGAGCTTCGTGGCGGGGGTAGTGGCAGGATGATCCTGCCAGAAGAAAGGCCGTGGGGCTCCTGGCATCCAGGAAGCGCTCAGCAAAGGGCCTCTGCGCTTTCGACAAGGTTGTCCGAGTGAAGACCAGCTTGCAAGGCGTCCTTGAAGCTCAGGTGGCAGAGTTTGAACTTGCTGGGGTAGTCGAAGGCCTGGGGCGTCACACACTTGAAGCCAGAAAAGGTCTCAGCCACCGGCTTCCCCAACTCCCTCATCTTGCAGATGAGAAAACTGGGTTCCGGAGACAGAGGGCAGTTCCCGGCACAGGCTGAGACTCCGCCCGGCAGGGGACTCTGAGCGAGTAGCTCAACACCACTGCCTGCGAGGTCGCGGGCACGGCGCGGCGCGGTGCTGGGCACACAGCCGAGAGCAGTGGGGAGCTGGGCGCCGAGGGCGGAGGTGGCAGCCGGGTGTCTGGCGATCCAGAGGTGAAGCCTTGGCTCCCCGGGTGTCCTCGGCAGCAGGTGTCTGAGCTCGGAGCAGCGCCCGCAGGTGCTTCTACAGCTCAGACTAGGCCTCCCTGTTCCTCCCCGTTCCTAGGAGTTTGGGTCACATTTGATTTGGGATTTTGCTCCCCCAGCAAGTCTTTGCTTCATGTGACGGTGTTCTAAGCACCCGTCCGGGGGGGGGGGGGGTGGGGGGGGGCTCTTTCTCCCCCCCTCTTTCCTGGGGCCTCATTTTCTTTCTTCTTCTCCAGCGCTCCCTTCCTGCCTCTGTCCTCCCTCCCTCCCTCCCTCTCTCCCAGTCCCCTGCAGTGTGTGAGTCAGGTGCCAGGCTCCGCTCAGCTCTGGGCATCCCAGCTCCAGGGAACTGCCCAGCTAATAGGGGAGGCAGGAAGGAAAACAGATCCTCACCCTGTGGGGCGACCCATGAGATGCCTGGATCGTGCACAGGGCGCTCTGGGCCCCCAGGGCCCCTCTGACACAGCTGGGGACAGCCAGGCAAGTCTCTTCAAAACAGGGGTAACAGCTTTTGAGCTTAATCTTTTTTTTTTTTTAAAGATTTACTTATTTATTTATACAAGCACTGGGTACAGTCAGAAGCGTGAGAGGGTGAGAGGATTCACCAGAGCCAGAGCGGGGAGCAGAACAGGCAGAAGGACCGAAGTACACTGCTGAGGGGAGCAGCGGCGGCAGGAGAGGTCTGCGCGCCATGTGGGACCCTCGCCGGGCGGCCGGGGAGCAGCCAGGGATCGAACCGGTGCCGCAGAGGCTGCGGGCAGCTTTGCAACAACCGCTGCGCCCCCTGGAAGGCCCTTGAGCTTAATCTTAAAGGATGGGAAAGAAGGAGAAGGGCAGCTGGAGGAGGACGGGAGGCGGGCGCAGCCTGTGGTGCTCTGGGGCTACACGCATGCAGGGCAAGGAGAGGTGAGAGCTGGGGGGGTGGGGGGAGGCTCTGGGCCGCGGAGGAGGCCGTCTAAGCCATGGTGAGGAGTTCAGACTTGATCTGCGGGCAACAAGCAACTGTTGAAGTTTTCTTTTAATGATTTAAAACTTTTCAGACTTTTACTAACTTTT